AAAAAAAAAAAAAGTCCTGCACCATCACCACCAGGCATTACATGGTTCTTAACCACTGAGCCAGCTCTCCACCCCCAATGTGTGAAGTTTTTATCGCGCATAACATGAAATGTTTCCTGCATAGGACGTAACTTTTAACCTGAATTAGATTCCCGGGGCCCATAGTCAAAAGACAGAACGGTCTCCACATTGCACATGTGCTCTTCCCCACAATAAATAAAAATGTAATAAAATTTTTTTAAATATTTAGGCACCAAGTTCGTTGTGTAGCTAGTTATTGAACGATAGCTCATAAGATTAAGGAAGCTATCGAAACGCAACCTTCAAGAAACTCAAGAAAATATTTGAGGGCCCAACAAGATGGTTCGTTGGGTTAAGGGCCCAGACAGTAGAAAGGCTGGCGAATGTTGTCCTCTGACCTCAGCAAAAGCTCACACAAACGAGTAACTGTAATAAAGCTGGTTTAGAAAGAAACACTGAGGTGTGGGAGACTTAGGAAGTTACAAGAATCACCAGGTGTGTGTGTGTGAGTGGGTGTGTGTGTGTGTGAGTGGGTGAGTGAGTGTGTGAGTGGGTGAGTGTGTGAATGTGTGTGAGTGGGAGAGTGTGTGAGTGAGTGAATGAGTGGGTGAGTGAGTGTGTGTGAGTGAGTGAATGAGTGGGTGAGTGTGTGAATGTGTGTGTGAGTGAATGAGTGGGTGAGTGAGTGTGTGTGTGTGAGTGTGTGTGAGTGAGTGAATGAGTGGGTGTGTGTGTGAGTGGGTGAGTGAGTGTGTGTGTGTGAGTGTGTGTGAGTGAGTGAATGAGTGGGTGTGTGTGTGAGTGGGTGAGTGAGTGAGTGGGTGGGTGAGTGTGTGAATGTGTGAGTGAGTGTATGAGTGTGTGTGTGTGTGAGTGTGAGTGGGTGGGTGAGTATGGGAGTGAGTGTGTGTGTGAGTGGGTGAGTGAGTGAGTGAGTGGGCGAGTGAGTGAGTGAGTGAGTGGGTGGGCGAGCTTCAGACTCCCTGGCGCACAGGCCAGGGGTGGCTGGAGCCTTTATTTCCCTTGGCGTGAGGCGGGCGCTCTACCCGGGACGAGTCACAGACCTTTGCCCCTCTCCCAGGAGCAGCCGCTGACTCAAGTCTCCGCAGGTCGCCACGTCCTGC